CGCACCACGAGCAGGAGCACCAGAAACCCTCCCCCGACGGCCACGGCGGCGGGGGCGGCGGCGGCGGCGACTCCCCCTCCTCCACGCCGGAGGACCTCGTGCTGCCCTTCATCTCCCGCATACTCATGGAGGAGGACATCGACGACAAGTTCTTCTACGACTTCCCCGACAACCCCGCGCTCATCGAGGCGCAGCAGCCCTTCCTCGAGATCCTCTCCGATCCCTCCTCCAACTCCACCTCCGACGACAGCAACAACCGCGCCGTCTCCCCGTGCTCCCCCTCCGACGCCTCCGTCGGCACCGCCGCCCAGCTGCCCCCCACGCCCGCCGCCGTTGACTCCTACGACCGCTTCCAGTTCGAGCCCGTCGACCTCGATCCCGCCGCCTTCTTCGGCGGCGGCGCCAACTCCGACCTCATGAGCTCCGCCTTCCTCAAGGGGATGCAGGAGGCCAACAAGTTCCTGCCCAGTCAGGACAAGCTCGTCATCGACCTGGAGGCCTCCTCTGGCCAGTTCTTCAAGGGCGTCGAGGAGGGCAACAAGTTCCTGCCCAGGGAGGACAAACTCGTTGTTGGATTCAATGGCCACGCAGCTCCTGCGTCGGCCCCAGCTGTGCTCAGCGTGAAAAAGGAGGAGGTGGTGGATGCGGTCTCGGCCAACTCTGGTGGCGGCCGAGGTCGGAAGAACCCCTACCATGATGACGAGCTGGAGCAGGAGGGTGGCAGGAGCAGCAAGCAGAGTGCGCTGGGAGACGACGTCTCTGCACGGGAGATGTTCGACAGGATGCTGATGCCCTCAGACGAGATGTGCATCGTGCAGATGCAGAACCTGCGGATCGCCATGCAGGAGGCGGTGGCCAAGAATGATGGCGGCGGTGGGAAGGGGGCCAATGGCAAGGGGAGGGGCCGGCGTGGTGGTTCCGATGTGGTGGACCTGCGCACGCTGCTCATCCATTGCGCGCAGGCTGTTGCCACGGATGACCGCCGGAGCGCTACAGAGCTGCTGAAGCAGATCAAGCTGCATGCTCGCCCTGATGGCGATGGGACTCAGCGCCTCGCTCATTGCTTTGCAGAGGGCCTGCAGGCGCGGCTGGCGGGCACAGGTGGCCTCGTACACCAGTCGCTCATGGCAACACGCATCTCAGCTGTGGACATGCTCAAAGCTTACCAGCTGTACATGGCAGCCATCTGTTTCAAGAAGGTGTCTTTCCTATTCTCAAATAGTACAATCTATAATGCCTCCTTGGGGAAGAAGAAGATACATATCATCGATTATGGTATACAATATGGGTTCCAGTGGCCGTGCTTTCTGCGACGGATATCAACAAGGCCTGGAGGGCCGCCAGATGTAAGGATCACTGGTATCGATCTCCCTCAGCCTGGGTTCCGGCCAAGAGAGCGGATTGAAGAGACAGGGCGCAGGCTCAAGAAGTATGCCAATGAGTTTAATGTGCCGTTCGAGTACCGGGCCATCGCGACGGCAAAGATGGAGTCGCTCCGCAAAGAGGATTTGAAGATTGATCCTGATGAGGTACTCATTGTTAACTCCTTGTTTCAATTCAAGAACTTGATGGACGAGAGCGTTGTGCTTGAGAGCCCAAGGGATGTTGTGCTCAAGAACATCAGGAAGATGCGGCCCCACACATTCATCCATGCAATCGTGAATGGCTCATTCAGTGCCCCATTCTTCGTGACACGGTTTCGGGAGGTTCTGTTCTACTACTCAGCCCTTTTTGATGTTCTGGACACAACCACCCCAAGGGATAACGAACAGAGGATGCTGATTGAGCAGAACATCCTTGGGCGTGCTGCCCTGAATGTCATTGCCTGTGAGGGTACAGATAGGGTGGAGCGTCCTGAGACGTATAAGCAATGGCAGGTAAGGAATCAACGGGCAGGTTTGAAGCTGCTGCCATTGAATCCAGAGGTCATTGAGCTAGCGAGAGACAAGGTCAAGAACTGCTACCACAAGGACTTTGTGATTGATATAGATCAGCACTGGCTCTTGCAAGGATGGAAAGGGCGCATCCTCTATGCCATCTCGACATGGACGGCAAACGATGCTAGCTCATAAATTTTAGCTGGCGTTTTCACTTGGCAATGCTTATAGCTCTAGTTATGTCAATATAATGTCTGTGTGTTGTGTATGGGCCATGGTCTAGTTAAGTAGCCTTGGATCAGTGGATGCAGTTTCTTGAGGTACGCCTTTCCTGAGTTTGGTGCATATTTGGCATTCCGACATGCAGGTGATTCTGCTCACAGGGCCAATTTGTGCGATGCAGGTCATGAGAGAGATGGGTAGCCCAAGATATATGCATGATTTTATGTGTTGTGAATTAGATGTTTGCAGTCATGTTGCTGCCTAATGCCTAGCTATGTAGAGTTTAGACTTTGGTGTCCTGATCTGGATGGATGATGTTTGCTGAATTGTGATATGTGCCTGTGATCAATCCAGTCAGTTGATCAGGTTGTAATTGACACTAGTCACTGTGTTCTGGGTGCATAGTGCACTGTGGCAGGCAGTAACATTTGTATGAAAAACTTGATGAACCTTGCTTTGGCTAGTCTATTATGTTTTGTACCATGAGAATCATCCTTTCATGATTAGTTCATGCAGGAAACCAAGTATTTTGCCCACATTCTGAAGCTGTGACATAGTTCAGCATAAGATTCTTCGTAATTGTGCAGTAAGCAAAGCTGGGTCGGTTGTCCAGAGTTTATTCAGATTGTTTAGCGCTTGGCATGGTTGGGACCTGTCATGGATTCAGCAAAACCAGGCCACCTCTCTGGTTTTATGGAATCCTGGGAGGCAGGTGACCCAAGGACCTTTAGTTTTGTTTGCCCCCTAGACAAAATGGGCACTGAATGATACAGCTCATGCCTATGCATTGCTATCTCAATAATTGTGAAAGATATTAGCTTTAAGCGTTCAGTCAGTATGATTTGATTTGTGACGGTTCCGTAGACCGATGATCTGGGACATCACATTTCAGTTGCTGGTAGAACCCAATGGTGTATGGGAAAGTGAAAAGCCAGAATAGTTTAGTGCCACACCTGAACCGAATCCCAGGGAATTCTTAACAAGATTGTGAGGATCAAGCGATGCTGAAACAACATGGGGGGTAGCACGAGACATGCAGAGTACCTGGTGCTGCTCCTCCTAGAAAAGATAATCAAGGGCAAAAGAATATGGTTGGACCACATGACAAGCTGAGCAAAACAAGCTGAGACGGAGACCGCCGGTCAGGGTGCATGCATCAGTCGAACCTTTGTGCAGCAGTGCAGATATATACTATTGGGACTGATCTTGTTTTGATATTGCCCAGGCTGTGTTTTTTCTTTTTTTGAAAGATCAAAGCGAATATGGCACCGTAGGAGATTAGTACACTAGCTCGGACACCATATGAGCTGATCCTGACCTGAAGAAGATATTGAAATGGGCGACATGGTGCACTCCCTCAGAAATATAAGAGTGTCTCACTAAAGTAGTGATCTAAATGCTCTTATATTTCTTTACGGAGGTAGTATAATGGTGGTGCTCCCTTGAGCTTATGGAGTTCTCTCCAGTAATTTGATAGACTTCTTGTGCAAGAAGCAAAGGCGAGCCGAAGGATCTTCATTCCAGAAGTAGGCTCCCGGTTTAGCTACAATCTGTGAGTTCATTGTGATTTGTGAATTTGTGCTTTTCCTGTTTAGTTGAACCGTTTTTGCATGTTTTGTGTTTTATCATTCAGTTATCTGCTCGGTACATACTCTGTTGGTGTTTGTTTTTATATTTTCAGGAAATACACTAGTTTTTTTAATGACTAGACTATAAAGATAGTGCCCTCCCTCAAGAAAGTTTTATCTGGGTTGGCCTCGGCAATTTTATATCTGCCATAGTTTTTACAGTATATTCTTGGTGCACATGTAGGCGAGGTCACTGCTTGCGACACACATCTGCAATCACACACCTGCACATGATTCCATGCTAAAGAATGCCTCGGGGGGCAGGCATTCGTACTAAGATACCTCGTTGACAAAATCCAGAGCCAGTGACCGGATCTTTCTTCTTCTCGAGGAACAGATCGATGGTGATCTCTGGGCTCCATTTGCGTGTACATGTTTTTCAAAATAGAGAATTTCCACGTACGTGTTCTTTACGTTGTAGGCAGCTTTCATACAGTCGTCGAGTTATGGGTTCTCAACTGGGATACCCAGAGAACGTATCTGGTGATACCTCTCAGGTGATATAATGCCCCAACAGATTGTGGAAGGTCACACTAGTAAAAAACAGGGCTTCGGTCCTGACCAGATCAGACCATTAGTCCCGGTTGCATTAGTCCCGGTCGTGTTACGAACCGGGACTAATGGGAGCATCAGTTCCGGTTCGAGCGGCTAGGACACTGGCCGGACCTCGACAAACATCAGACCTGGTTCAACTGGGACCTTTTGGTGTCTGAAACCGGGACTAAAGGGTAAGCATTTAGTCCCGGTTGGTGTCACACTTAAGCTTTCTTCTCTTCAAGCTCGACCTTCAAGCTACATTTTTCTCAAGATTTGTCTAGATTTGGCGGTGCACCAACTACACAAGTGTTCTAAAAGGTTAGCAACTTCACCTTTTCATTTCTCATTGCTAGTTTAGCTCATTTCAATTTCAAATGTTCTAGAAGTAGAGTGGTTTGTGGGTTTTAGTGGAGGAGTGTATCTGGGAGTTCATTTGATTTAGATGCACAATCTGAGCTCAAATTAACTTCTTAGAGTCTGCACATGTTAGGGTGCCGCCCCTTCCCCGTCCTTGTCCCCGTCCTCACCGCCGTCGATCGTCCGCCCCGATCTCATCGTCTACACCACCGTGGCGAGCCTCTTGTTCTTATCTTCTTTAAAAAAAAAAAATTCTTACTTGTATGATTTAGATAGCTACTTGTATAATTTTTTTACTTTTTTTATTGTTTGTTATTATATAGTGCTATGGTTTTGGTATCCGCCTCAGTTGGCTCTTGTCCGGTCTATGATTTGGATGTGGTATATTATCTTTTATAACTATTTGTTTTATTTAGTGTTTATGACAATTATGCCAACCAATGTGACATAGATGTTTTTATCTAGGAGGTATGTGAACCGGAAATTTGAACCGACCCTCTTGTCGAGAGGTTAAATTTGGTTGAAAAAGAAAACAATTATTTGAAAGAAAAATTGAAAAGAATTAAAGAGGAGAAGATGAAATTAGAGTTGCATGTTACCGATGCCGTCGATGATCACAAGATCTAGATGGATGCAATGCACTTGAAGATTAGAAAATATGCCATCGATAATGAGGCTTGATATCATTATGCTGTTGGATCAATTGTTATTGCGATTTTGATTGTATTTGTTGTTGCATTTAAATGTTTTACATAGTTGTATTTTAGTTTCAACGTATGTTTTAATTAGATGCTCTAGAGAGCTGTATGTTTTTCTACGAGAACTATGTATGAAATTTATGTATTTATTTTTTCAGTAATAACATTTGATCATTACTGTACTTTGGTTTTAACGTGATGACGAACTCGTATTAATTTGGTCACTTCTCTATTCATGATGTTCTGTAATAGTTTTTGATATACTTAATTATATAATGCATGCAGATGAACCGACACTGGATGTACGCTGACCGACGCTCCTCCGACTACATTGAGGGCCTGCATAATTTTCTCAAGGTGGCTGAGGCAAACAAGCAGAATGGTTTTATGTATTGTCCATGTACTGTCTGTGAGAATACGAAGGATTACTCTTCCTCGAGAACCCTTCACTTGCACCTGCTTGAAAAGGGTTTCATGCCACACTATAATGTTTGGACCAAGCACGGAGAAAGAGGGATTATGATGGAAGACAATGAAGAAGAAGAGGATGATGCCAACTATCCTATGTTCCCTGAATACGGTGATACTTCAACGAGGGAATCTGAAGATCAAGAGGCATCAGATGTGCGTGATGATGATCTTCGCCGGTTCATTGCTGATGCACAGAGAGAATGTGAAAGTGAAAGGGAGAAGTTGAAGTTCGGTCGCATGTTAGAGGATCACAAAAAGGGTTATACCCAAATTGCGAAGATGACAACACAAAGCTCGGTACCACACTGGAATTGCTGCAATGGAAGACAGACAATGGTGTATCTGACAAGGGATTTGGTTCGCTACTGAAAATAATGAAAAAGAAGTTTCCAAAGGATAATGAATTGCCTGACAGCACGCACGAAGCAAAGAAGGTTCTATGCCCTCTAGGATTGGAGGTGCAGAAGATACATGCATGCCCTAATAATTGCATCCTCTACCGCGATGAGTACGAGAATTTGAACGTATGCCTGGTATGTAATGCCTTGCGGTATAAGATCAGACAAGATGACCCTGGTGATGTTGAGGGCGAGCGCCCCAGGAAGAGGGTTCCTGCCAAGGTGATGTGGTATGCTCCTATAATACCACAGTTAAAACGTTTGTTCAGAAATAAAGAGCATACCAAGTTGATGCGATGGCACAGGAAGATCGTAAGAAAGACGGGAAGTTGAGAGCACCCGCTGACGGGTCGCAGTGAAGAAAAATCGAGAGAAAGTGGCGGGACTTTATAGAAGACGCAAGGAACATATGGTTTGGTTTAAGTATAGCACCTGGCCCATGACTCCATCTATCTATAACCTTCCTCATTGATTGTGCATGAAGCGAAAGTTCATTATGATGTCAGCGCTCATCCAAAGCCCTAAGCAACCCGGCAACGACATTGATGTGTACTAAGGCCATTAGTTGAAGAACATTCATAGTTGTGGGATATCAAAGGTGTTCGTGTGTGGGATGAGCACAAACAACAGGAATTTGACCTACGAGCGTTGCTGTTTGTAACCATCAATGATTGGCCTACTTTTAGTAACCTTTTAGGACAGACAAATAAGGGATACTATGCATGCATGCACTATTTAGATGATACCGTAAGTATATATTTGGACAAATGCAAGGAGAATGTGTACCTGGGACATCGTCGATTTCTTCCGACCAAGCATCTCTTAAGAAAGAAAGGCAAGCATTTTAAAGGTGAGGCAGATCACTAGAAGAAGTCCGTCCTCCGTACTGGTGATGATATACTTGATATGGTCAAGGATTTACAAGTAATCTTTGGAAAGGATCTTGGCGGACAATCTGTTCTGAATGACGCTGAGGGACATGCACCCATGTGGAAGAAGAAATCTATATTTTGGGACCTACCCTATTAGAAAGACCTAGAGGTTCGCTCTGCAATCGACGTGTTGCACGTGACGAAGAATCTTTGCATGAACTTGCTAGGCTTCTTGTGCGTGTATGGGAAGACAAAAGATACACTGAAGGCACGGGAGGACCAACAACGTGTCACTACTGTAGGATGGTCCAAACGCGACAGTTGAATCAGAGACCCTTCGACGAAACTGTGTGCGATGCATCAATCACAAACTATGATGTAATAAAACCATAAAAAAGATGCAAAACGCTTGCGATGGCAGCGACATCAAACACGGTTCATACTAGAGTTGTGTGTGCGATGAGTGGCAAACGATTAATCCAGAAGAACTGTTTGCAATGATGCAGAACAATAGAAACGGACAGCCGGATGAGGGTGTGTGCGATATACAACATACGGTTCATTAGGATGAACTGTGTGTGATTAGGAAACACAATGGAAACGGTTCAATTGAACCAGATGTGTGTGATACGCGGTAAACAGGTCCGTAATCAGAAATATGTGCGAAGACCAATAATAACACAGACGATTGCTGCTAATAAGCCATGTGATTTGCTCTGTCTACAGAAGAATAACATGTATATATATATATAACTGAAATAAACATCCAATTACACAAATGACTATACAGATCATTTGCATAAACCTCAATAAACAATTGCATGCATTCTAAACTAGGAGAAACGATCGTCTAGTCATCTACTTCTTGTGACGCTCCCGCCACTGCTCTGTGACTCGATCCCTCGTCTGGGGCAGGAAGAAGACACCCCCTCATGTCAATGATCCGCATGTACATCTCGTAGCTTGTGTATGCGTCCTTGGCCGCGTACTTGACGTGTTGTTCATCCATTATTATGAGAGAGGAACTAAATCTCTGCCTCCCTATGTTTTCAACACGACAAAATTGCAAGAAACTGCTTATGCAATGTATTGGCCTTTACTTGATGTGCATGAATTATTATTTTATGACATGCCGATGCATAGGAAGAGAGTTATACTTCGTCATTGCATGATATATGTTTCTTTGTGCTCAATACTAAATTATACTCCCTCTGTTCCTAAATATTTGTCTTTCTAGAGATTTCAACAAGTGACTTCATACGGAGCAAAATGAGTGAATCTAAACTCTAAAATAAGTCTATATACATCCGACTGTGGTAGTTCATTTGAAATATCTAAAAATACAAATATTTAGGAATGGAGGGAATAAATCATTGTTAATTAAAATTGGCTTTGATATACCTTGCGATCCGGGTGGATCCATTACTTGAGCACTTTATGCCTAGCTTAATGGCTTTAAAGAAAGCGCTATCAGGGAGACAACCCGGAAGTTTTGGAGAGTCATTTTATTCTGTTGTGTGCTTTTATAAACTTTAAAAACAAAAAATATAGAGGGGAACTTAAAACTTTACAAAAAGAAAAGTGAAAGTGAGAAAGACGAGCATCGTTGAAGTGGGGGACGTCCTTGAACTTTTTCATGCCCATGGAAACTTTGTGAATCTTGATTACAGAAACTTTTCAACAAAAATAATTATCCCCTTGTACAAATCAATTGTATTATAAAAATAATGTGCCAAGACTTGCCTTTAGGATGATTAGATTGCTTGTTGGTATGTGCGGTGCAAAAACAGAAACTTTAGCTGTAGTGCGTGATTTTACATTTTTTACTGGAATGTCAAAGGTTTCTGAAACTTTTTGCACAATATTGCTATACGAATTTATATATATTTTATCCTAAGTTTTTAGATTTTTTGGATTACCAGAAGTATGGTTAAAGTTCAGATTACTACAGGCTGTCCTGTTTAAGACATATTCTGTTTTTGATGCATTGTTTTGGTTGTTTTGATGAAACTATCGATTCTATCGGTGGTATAAGCCATGGAGAAGTTATAATACAGCAGGCATAATGCAAAAATAAAATAGGAATGGGTTTGCAATATTACTTAAAGTAGTGATTTGCTTTATTATGCTAACGGATCTTACCGAGCTTTCTATTGAGTTTTGTGTGGATGAAGTGCTCAAAGATCGAAGAGGTCTCTCTATGAGGAGAAGGAGAAGATGCAAGAGTTCAAGCTTGGGGATTCCCAAGGCACCCCAAGTAAATATCCGAGGAGACTCAAGCGTCTAAGCTTGGGGATGCCCCGGAAGGCATCCCATCTTTCTTCAACAAGTATCAATATGTTTTCGTTTTTGTTTCGTTCATGTGATATGTGTAAATCTTGGATCGTCTTTTGTGTTTAGTTTTCACTTTTATTTTATGCACCATGCTGGTATAGACTACTCATTACACTTCACTTATTTCTTTTGAGTATGGCTTTGTAGAATGCTTCATGTGCTTCACTTATATCATTTGAAGTTTGGATTGCCTGTTTATCTTCACATAGAAAACCGTTATTTGTAGAATGCTCTTTTGCTTCACTTATATTTATTAGAGCATGGTCTTTTGTAGAAAGAATTAAACTCTCTTGATTCACTTATATCTATTTAGAGAGCCAACATGAATTGGTCATTTGCATGGTTAGTCATAAAATCCTACATAAAACTTGTGGATCACTGAATATGATATGTTTGATTCTTTGCAATAGTTTTGCGATATAGAGATGATAATATGTGGGAGGTACAAGTAAATGGTTCCGCTTAGTAAGAATATTAGTGTTAAGGTTTGTGATTCCCGAAGCATGCATGTATAGTATCTCGTTATGCTATGAAGTTGGAGCATGATTTATTATTGATTGTCTTCCTTATGAGTGGCGGTCGGGGACGAGCGATGGTCTTTTCCTACCAATCTATCCCCCTAGGGGAATGCGTAGTAGTACTTTGCTTCGAGGGCTAATAAACTTTTGCAATAAGTATATCAGTTCTTTATGACTAATTTGAGTCCATGGATTATACGCACTCTTACCTTTCCGTAATTTGCTAGCCTCTACGGTATCGTGCATTGCCCTTTCTCACCTTGAGAGTCGATACAAAATTCGCTGGTGCATCCAAACCCCATGATATGATACGCTCTATCACACATAAGCCTTATTATATCTTCCTCAAAAAAGCCACCATACCTACCTATTATGGTCTTTCCATAGTCATTCCGAGATATATTGCCATGCAACTTCCACCGCTTTCGTTTTGATGATTTGAGCATTCATTGTCATATTGCTTTGCATGATCATATAGCTGACATAGTGTTGTGGCTCAACCACCGTTCATCATTTTTTATACATGTTATGCTAGATCATTGCACATCCTGGTACACTGCCAGAAGCATTCATTAGAGTCATATTTTGTTATAGGTATCGAGTTGTAAGTAAATAGAAGTGTGATGATCATCATTATTCATTACTAAAGCATGTCCCAGTGAGGAAAGGATGATGGAGACTATGATTCCCCCATAGTTCGGGATGAGACTTCGGACAAAGAGAGAGAAAAAAGAAAAAAAATACAAAGAGAGAAGGGGCATGCTAATTCCACACTTGTGCTTCAAAGTAGCACCATGTTTTTCATATGGAGAGTCTCCTATGTAGTCACTTTCATATACTAGTGGGAATTTTTCATTATAGAGTTAGATGCACACCCACTTAGTTTTCAGTTTGAGCTTTCATACACTTATAGTCCTTAGTGCATTCGTTGCATGGCCATCCCTACTCCTCGCATTGATATCAATTGATGGGCATCTCCATAGCCTCTTGGTCAGCCGCATCAATGTGAGACTTAATTTGTTTGTCTCCTCTATATTTACCCCTATCATCATACTCTATTCCACCCGTACTGCTATATCCATGGCTCGTGCACATGTATTGCGTGGGGGCCGAAAAAGCTGAAGCGTGTTAAAAAGTATGAACCAATTGCACGGCTTGTCATCGGGGTTGTGCATGATAAATACTTTGTGTTAAGAAGACACAACATGACAAGACTATATGATTTTGTAGGGATAGCTTTCTTTAGCGCTGATATTTTGAAATACACTATTGTTTGTTGGGATGCCTGAGTATTGATGTCTTTATGTCAAATTATAGACTATTGCTTTGAATCACTCGTGTCTTAATATTCATGCCATGATTAGACATATGATCAAGATTATTCTAGGTATCATTCCACATCAAAATATATCTTTTTCTATCATTTACCTACTCGAGGATGAGCAGGAATTAAGCTTGGGGATGCTGATACGTCTCCGCCGTATCTATAATTCTTTCTTGTTGACAAAAGCTATCTACTTTGTTGTGTTGCATTTCATTCATAGTTTTATTCTTGCAAAGTACTCATAGTTTCATTCTTGCAAACCTATCCTTTCACCTATCAAATAGT